GTTACAATGAGGCTCATATATATCCATCTATATCTATAATAGTCTATTTTAAGCTGATAGGTATTTATGTTGAAACGCTTTGTAAAAGCACTACATATTTACGCCTCCCTCCCTGCTTTGTTTTCATGTCATATTTTAGATCTTTCTGTTTTGTGTATCCCCTATTTATTGTAGTTATAGTTAATTTTGCTACTTTTTGTCTTAATGCTAGCTTTTTTTTCAAACATAGTTTTTTTTGTTTGATTTTTGTTTTTTTTTAATTCATGAGCATTTTTTTTTAAGATATTATTTATTGGGGAATTAGGGGAGGGGAACAGCATTGGGGAATCGGAGAAGGGGAACAGACAAGTTGCTGTCCTTTTGTTCTTCAGTCTAGTTGTGGAGGATGTCGCTTCACTGGCCCATGTTGGTATTATCATTGCGCTCTTCCCGGTTTGAGGCAGTCACTTGCCAGCCATTGGAAGGCGGCTCACGGCAGCTCACGAAAGTTCACACCCGCTGCTGGCCAGCCCCAGTGCAGCCTACACCATCTCTGGCGACTTACTGCAGTCCAGCTCCAGGTCGAGCTATTGTTCACCATCTTAGCTGTAGAGGGCGCAGCGCCACTGGCCCTCATGTGGGATCCGAACCGGGGCCCTGCTGCTCAGAGCTGGCATCCCAAGCCAACTCCTAACAAACGCGCCACTCAGATGGCCCTTTATGCTAGCTTTTTAAGTGGCTGATTTGGTGAGTTTATTATATATTTGCCTTTACCTGGGAGATTTTTCTTTCATGTATTTTCTTATTTCTTGTTATGGCCTTTGTTTTCTGCTTACAGATGACCCTTTAACATTTTCTTCTAAACCAGGTAATTAGTGATAAACTCCATTAGTTTTTGCTCATCGGGGAAATGATCTCTTCTTCAATTCTAAATGTTAGCCTTGCTGGGTATAGTATTCTAGGTTGTAGGTTCTTTCTTTCAGCACTTTAAATATGCCCTCCCACTCCCTTCTGACCTGTAAAGTTTCTGCTGAGAAATTAGCTAATAGCCTTATAGGGCTTCTCTTGTACGTAACTGGTTGTTTTCTTCTTGCTGCCTGCAAGATTATCTCTTTAACTTTTGCCATTTTAATTATGGTATATCTTGGTGTGGGCCTCCTTGGGTTCTTCTTGTTTGGAACTCTCTGTGCATCCTGGACCTGGAGGTCTGTTTGTTTCCCAGTTTAGGAAAGTTTTCAGTCATTATTTCTTCAGATAAATTTTCTGCCCCTTTCTCATCCCCTCTGGGATCCCTATAATGTTAATGTTCCTGTCCCCTCTCCAGGGGTTTACATCTTTTTTCTTTCTTTCTTTCTTTCTTTTTTTTTTGTTTTAATTCTTGTGCCTTTTTGCTGTTCTGATGAGTGATTTCCACTATTCTGTCTTCCAGGTCACTAATTCATTCATCTGTATTATCTAATCTGCTTCTCATTCCTTCTAGTGTATTTTTCATTTCAGTTATTGTATTCTTCAGCTATGATTGGTTCTTTATTATGTTTTCTAACTCTTTGTCCAAATTCCCTCTGGGTTCCACTCTCAATTTGGTGAGCATGCTTGGAACAGTTTCTTTGAATTCTTTATCAGGCAGATTACTTATCTCAATTTCATTAGGGGTTTTTTCTAGTTTGTTGTTTTGTTCTTTCATTTGGAACACGTTCCTGTCTTCTCATTTTGTTTGACTTTCTGTGTTTGTTCCTATTAATTAAATGTAATGCCTATCTCTCCCAATCTTGAAAAAGTGGCCTATGTAGAAGCAACCTTTGTGTAGGCTGTGTTCTGGGTTTTGGCAAAGTCGTTGGAGTCAGTAGGTGTCTGGGGCAAAGGCTGGCCAGGAGGAGTGGACTTGGGGTGGGGCAGCCCAGTGCACATACATGCATGCACTGGCTCCCTGTTAGTCTGGTTGAGGCTGGAGTGAGGTCCTGCCAAGGCAGCCCAGTGCATGCCTGCTTTGGCAGCCTGTTGGTCCTCCTGGAGTGAGTTCCAAGTGGAGTGATGCCCTGTTGATTTAGTCGTCCACAGTCAGAGCAGGGATCCAGGCTGGGCAGCCCAGTGCACTCACACCAGCAGCCTTGCAAATCCGTACCTTCCTAGAGCTCCTGCCTGTGCTATCCAGGTGGAGGGGTATGTACACAGTGTTGCTCACCAGCACCTCTGATCCCAAAGAGTTTCCTTAGATCCCAGAGTGCTCTCACAGTTCCCGAGCCTTCTTTATGTGGCATCTCTCTCTCTCTCTCCTTTGTTGTACAGAAACTATTCAGTTGGCCCTCTGTTGCCTCAGGAGGAACTGCTCTAAATGTAGGTGTGTTTATGGGAGGGTAGTTAGCTTCCTCCTATGCCACCATTTCAGACCTGCCTGATAGGTACTGATTTAAGAAATGCATCCTAAACTATAAATGAGACCCTCTCAGAGAGCATTTCCTTTTTATAATTTAAAAAAAATGATTGAAAGTTAAAAAAATACAAGCTCTTTTTAAAAGTTAAAATTATACAATACAGAATTGCATATATAATTTTAAAAAGGAAAATTTGCCCCTAAACTCTGCCTTCAATCCTGTCTCTTTTCCAGAAGCACACTTAATTTACATCATTTTATGTTTTATTTGAATTTTTGTAAAAAAAGAAAACTCTTCAAGCAAATCTTTAAATATATGAGAAAGATATTTGAGAGAGGTATTTTGGCAGGCAAGAAAGAACGATATCCCTTTATTGAACCTGCTAAAAACTAGAATGTGTGGAATCAGTACTGTAACTGTCTCTCAACTTATACCCAGTGACCTTTTCAGATGATCCTGTTCCCCAGAGGATCCTGTAAAACAGAACTCAAATTGGCCTTTATAATCATTAGGCCTAAGAATATTTGAGGTTTTTTTCCAGATAGACTTAAAACAAAGAATGCCTAACCCAAGGTCCTTCCAGACCTACTTTAGTGAATGAGAGGCAGTTAAATATCATTTTTAATTAACACTTAAAACTTATATGTAAACAAATGGTGTTAAAAGTAATTTTAAGAACTTCCAACAAGATGTTTTAAGTAGAATTAACAGTTACCCTGTGATCATTGTTTATTTGCATTATTTGTGTAAATAACCAAAGGTAAACCTTTTCCCAAACTTTGTTAGTATTGTAAGGTATTCTGAATGAATGAGGCCTTATTAACCTAATTTTCCATATGAGAAGTGGAGATGGTTGTGATTAGGTGGATGGATTTTTTTCTGTTTGCATGATTTTTGGAAGCTGTAAATTCATTTGAGTATAAAGATTTTAATGTCTAATAACCTTTTCAAGATTAAATTACTACTAGTTAATATGAGGTGTGATCAAACAATATGATGTATGTTTAAATTTTGTAAAAGTTTATTACAGTAAAAGACACATTGCCATTAATCTCCCTCAGAATACTCCCTTGCACTTCAAACACACTTAATCCCATTATTCTTGCCACTTTCTGAAGCAGTTCTGGAAGTCCTCTTTCGTTGAATGTCCTTAGTTGCGCTGTCGTGGCTGTCACGATGTCCTGAATCGATTCAAAACGTTTACCTTTCATAGTCATTTTGACTTTGGGTAACAGCTAGAAGCCGCATGGTGCCAGATCTGGTGAATAAGGTGGATAAGGACACACCGTAATGTTTTTATTTGACAGAAATTGCCGTACCAGAAGCCATGTGTGACAAGGAGCATTGTCATGATGGAAAATGAAACCTTTTACTCATTTCTCAGGCTGTTTTCTAAGCACATCATTTCTTAAATGCTCCTAAAGACACTCACAAAAGAGGACTTCCAGAACTGCTTCAGGAAGTGACAAGAATGATGGGATAAGTGTGTTCAAAGCAAGGGGGAGTATTTTGAGGGGGATTAATGGCAATGTGTCTTTTACTGTAATAAATTTTTTTTTGTAATAATATTTTTTATTTAAACATTCACTATATTTTTTTAATCAAACCTTGTATATGTTAATGTGCTTTCAGTAGCACATAACAGGAAAAAAACTCAGCCCTAATTTTTCTTATGGTGGTATTTAGTTATCTTTTGCTGCTTAACAAATTACTCCAAAACTTAGTGGCTTAAAACAACAAACATTTCTTTAATCTCACAGTTTCTGTGAGTTAGGAATCTGAATATAGTTTACCTGCAACCTCATGAGAGACTGAGTCAGAGGCCCTAAGCTAAACTATCTGCCAGGGCAGTGATGTCATCTGAAGGTCCCAACAAGAAGAAGATCCTCTTCCAAGCTCATTTATGTGGTTGTTGGCAGGATTAGTTCCTCTCAGGTTGTTGAACTCAGGGCCTCTGTTTCTCATCAGCCGTTGTTTAGAGACCTCTCACGGTCTCTGCTAACATACACCTCTCTATAGTGCACCTCACAACTTGGCATGTGACTTCCCTCAGAGTGAACAAGTGAGACAGTACCCAAGATGGAAGTCACACGCTTTTTGTAACTAATCTCAGAAGTGATATCCTATCACTTTTGCTATATTCCATGACTAGTTAAAAAGTAATCACTAGGTGTAGCCCACACTCAAGGTGAGAAGATGGTATAAGGGCATGAGTACTAGGAGGCAGGGATAATTGGGGGCCATCTTAGCGGCTGTTTACTATAGGTGGCAGAATTGCTCAGTAGTTCCCAGCTTTTTATTTATATATATATATATATATATATATATATATATATATACACACACACACAACTCTGTCAACACTAATTGAGGGCACCCCTTAATCAGTCCACATGGCCACAAGAATGCTATGAGCTAACCCAATTGTTCTGGGAATGAATGGCGATGGGGAGAAGAGGAATTGTCTTATTGGCCAGACCCATCAAGGCCAACCCCTTGAGCTCAATATGAACTTGGGTCTAATCTATCCACACCACTGTTGTTACATAATGAGCACAAATGGAATGTATATTGGGAAAACAAAGTGTTCCAAAAACCTGTTAAAATATTTTAGGTGTTTAATTCAGACTTTTTTTTTTTTCTTCACAGGTAATAATCCAAGAAGACTGAATAGAAAATCAACTTCTCACCATTTCTGGAATTCTAGCCACAATTATGGTCTCATGGTGACTGATAACTAGTTTTGTTCGCAGAAAACCCTTTACCGTCTTAGATTTCAAGTGCCTACCTCCTAGTCCTTAAATGTACAGAGTGACTTCTCCAGATAGAGGAGAACCATTATTCCAACAAGGATAACCAAGTCCTTGCATCCCTTGCTATAAGACATATTATTTTTATTTATTTGAAAATGCAAGTTAAAGTCTTAAGTTGAAATTTAAATGACTATTCAAGAAAATACAATGACTGGTTTTTTTTTTCTGGCTGATACCAGCCATCACATCAACTTGACCAAAAAATTGGGAGAAGTCCGATTTTAGCCTCATAATCTAAACTCTAGATTCTGAAGAACAGTAAAGAGGTCAATAAATACAATCTAAGATAAAGCACTTTAGAAGTCTAGTCATTAGTTTTTTAAAAGAAGCTGCCTGTGCTGTAATGTGGTTAACCTCACAGGTCCAAAACAAGAGTCCTCAGGACTCAAGGAAATTTAAAAAATAAAATAAAATAAAAAATAAAACAATGAATCTGTAGTTTTGTTTGTTTTTAAGATTTTATTGAGGAATGGGGAAGGGGAACAGCAAATTGTTGTCCTTCAATCTTAGTTGTGGAGGGCGCAGCAAGCTTACCTCCAAGTCCAGTCGCTATCCAGCTACCCATCAGCAGTGTAGTTTGTTTTTAAGAGAGACAATCTCTAGACTTTCTAGTGCTTTTTCAAAATGTGTGGGAAGCATGCAAGTTAGCAGGGCATCTAGGGTAGTTAAAGGGGGTGCCTCAAATGGACAATTTGGGCAGCTTTACTGGAGGGCCAAGAAAAAAATCAGATCTATACTCTTGGACACTGGAAGAAATGACAGCCACTCAAAGCGCCCAACCTTGGAAAGGGGCCAGAAAGCAGCCTGATGGAGTGGGACTCAACAAACAGGAATCTACCAAGCTCTGCAAGGTCACAGGCTACAATATCAATATACAAGTCAATTGTGTTTTTGTATGCTAGCAATGAAAAATCCCAAAACAAAATTAAGAAAACAATTCCATTCACCTTAGTACCAAAATAATTAATTACTTAATAAATTTAACAATTGAAGTACAAGACTTGGACAGTGAAAACTGTAAACCATTCAGAGAAATTAAAGGAGGTATGAATAAGTACAGAGATATTCCATGTTCGTGAATTAGAATATTTAGTATTGTTAAAATGGCAGTCCTCCCCAAATTGATGTATAGATCAATGCAATCTCTGTCAAAACCCCAACAGGCTTTTTTGAAAAATTGAGAAGCTGATCCTAAATTTTCTAGGGAAAAGGAACCAGAATAGCCAAAACAATTATGAAAATGAACATTCCTGATTTCAAACGTACTACAAAACTACAGTAATCAAGACAGTGTGATACTGATATAAAGATAGGCATAAAGATCAATGGAACAGCATTTGAGAGTCCCTGAATAAGCCCTCGTATTTATGGTCAATTGATTTTTGACTAAGGTGCCAAGGCATTTCATGGACAAAGGATAGTCTTTTCAACAAGTGGTGCCAAATGTTTGGGTATCGGATGCAAAAAGGAATTTAGACTTTTACCTCCTACCAAATGCAAAAATAAATTCAAAATGGATCAGAGACTTAAATTTAAGCTGAAACTATGAAACTTCTACAAGAAAACAGGAGAAAATCTACATGGCATTGGTTTAGAAAAATACTTCTTACATAAGAGCTCAAAAGCACGATCTATAAAGGAAAATATTAATAAGTTGGACTTCATCAAAATTTAAAACTTCTGCACATCACTAAGAAAATAAATTGTGGGCCAGCCAAGTGGCACGTTGCTTAAGAGCTGGCTTGGGACGCCAGCTCTGAGGAGCAGGGCCCTGGGTCAGATCCCACATGAGGGCCAGTGACACTGCCCTCTACTGGAAAGATGGTGAACAACAGCTCAACCTGGAGCTGGGATGCTGTGAGTCGCTGGCGACGGCATAGGCTGTAGCTCCTGCTGCAGTGGGTTGCCATAGCTACCGTGTGTGGTCATCAGCCAGCGTGAGCTGCCAAGAGCCTCCATGAGCAGCCGTCCAGAGGCCAGCGACCAATCTGCCTCACCCGGGAAGAGCGCAACGATAATACCAACATGGGCCAGTGAAGCAATGTCCTCCACAACTAGACTGAAGAACAAAACGACAGCAACTTGTTTGTTCCCCTTCCCCAGATTCCCCAGCGCTGTTTCCCTCCCCCAATTCCCCAATAAAATTTTTTTTCAAATAAATAAATTGACCAAGCACAGAGAAAATATTTTCAAATCGTATTTTATAAAGGACATATCCATTATATGTAAGGAATTCTTAAAATTCAACTATGAGACAACTCAGTTTTAATATAGTAAAAACTGTCAGTAGACATTTCAGCAAAGAAAATACACAAATGGTTTAGCATATGGAAAGATCCTCACCATCATTAATCATTAGGGATATCCAAGTTGAAACCAAAATTAAGATACCACTTCACACTCACCAGGATGAATAAAAAAGAATATCGTAGTGGTGAGATATGGAGAAACTGGAGCCCTAACACATTGCTGCTGGAAATGTAAAAGGGTGTAGCCACGTTGGAAAAGAGTCTGGTGGTTTCTTAAGCATGTTTACCATATGACCCAGAAATTCCACTTGGTGTTCCAATCCAAGAGAAATGAAAACATGTTTACAAACATAGACAAATGTTCACAGCAGCATTATTCATATTAGGGAAACCATCCAAATGACTATCAACTGATATATGGATAAACAAAAAATCCAAGGGGTACCAAAAGGAGAAGAGTGAAGTCAAGGGATTAAGAACCTATTTGAAGAAATAACAACTGAAAACTTCTGTAACCTAGTGAAGAAAATAGACATACAAGTCCAGGAAGTGCAAATTCCCAAACAAGATGAACCCAAAGACACATCATAATTATAATGACAAAGGTTAAAAATGAAGAGAGAATCTTAAAAGCAGCAAGACAAAGGCAGTTACCTACAAAGGGAGTTCCCATAAGACTATCAGCTAATTTTTCAACAGAAACTGCAGGCAAGAAGGGATTGGCACCAAATATTCAAAGTGATGAAAAGCAAGGACCAACAGTCAAAACTACCCAGCAAGCCTATCACTTAAAATTAAGAGAAACTGTGAAAGCAGTCCTAGGAGGGAAATAAAAAACAATGCAGGCCTAGCTCGAGAAACAAGGTAACTTTACAATCTAACTTTACACTTAAGGAAACTGGAAAAAGAACAGCAAATAAAGCCCAAAGTGAGAAAAAGGAAGGAAAAAATAAAGATCAGAGAGGAAATAAATGAAATAGAAGCCAAAAATGTAATACAAAAAATCAGTGAAACCAATAGCTTTTTTGAAAAGATAAACAAAATTGATAAGCCTTTAAGCAAGACTCATCCAGAAAAAAGAGAGGACCCAGGTAAAATCAGAAATGAAAGAAGTGACAACAGACACCACAGAAATACAAAAAGTTTTAAGAAAATGCTATGAACAATTATATGCCAACAAATTGGACAATCTGGAAGAAATGGATAAATTCCTAGAAGCATAAAATCTTCCAAGGCTGAATCAACAAGAAACGGAAAATTTAAACTGACCGATTACTACAAATGATAAGTGAGTCAGTAATCAACAAGTTCCCAACAAAACAAAAGTGCTGGACTGGATCAGGCTTTACAGGAGAATTTTACCAATCAAGAAGTAACACCTGTCCTCAAAGTATTCTAAAAAACTCAAGAGGAAAGGAGGCTCCTATGCTTATTTTACAAGGCCACCATAACCTACCCTGATTCCAAAAGCAGACAGACGTTACAAAAATCAATATTATAGGCTGATATCCCTGATGAACGTAGATGGAGAAACCTTCAACAAAATATTTGCAAACTGAATTCAGCAATACATTAAAAAAAATCATACACCATGATCAAGTGGGATTTATTCCTGGGGTGCAAGGTTGGTTCATTATCCTCAAATCAAGTAATATGATACACCACATAAATAAAATGAAGTTAAATAAATAAAAATCATGATCATATCAATAGATGCAGAAAAAGCATTTGACAAAACTCATCCATTTATAAAAACTCAGGAGACAGGGAATAGAGGGAACATACCTCAACATAATAATGACAGTATATGACAAACACAGCTAACATCATGCTCAATGGTGAAAACCTAAAAGCATTTCCTTAAGATCAGGAACAAGACAAGGATGTCCACTTTGACCACTTCTATTCAACATAGTATTGGAAGTCCTAGCCACAGTAATCAGAAGACAAAAAGAAAAGGCATCCAACGGAAGAAGTAAAACTCATTATTCACAGGGGACATGCTACTATATAGAGAGAACCCTAAAGATTTCATCAAAAAACTTAGAACTGATAAATGAATTCAGTAAAGTAATAGGCTGCAAAATTAATATTCATAAATCGGTTGCATTTTCATACATCAGTAACAAACTATCAGAGAAATTAAGAAAACAATCCCATTTATAATTGCAACAACAAAAAAATACCTAGTAATAAACTTAACTAAGAAGGTAAAAGACTTATACTCGGAAAATTATAAGACATTGAAGAAGATACAAATAAATGGAAGTATATATCATGCACGTGGATAGGCAGAATTAACATAGTTAAAATGTCCATACCACTCAAAATAATCTATAAATTCAATGCAATCCCTGTCAAAAGACCAATGGCATTTTTCACAGAACTAGAACAAGTAATCCTAAAATTTATAGGGACCACAAAAGACCCCGAATAACCTCAGCAACCTTGAGAAAGAAGAACAAAGTTGGAGGTATTATGCTACCTAATATCAAACTATACTTCAAGGCTATAGTAATCAAAACATGGTACTGGCATAGAAATAGACACATAGACCAATGGAACAGAATAGAGAGCCCAGAAATAAACCCACACCTATATGGTCAATCTATGACAAAAGCAAGAAATTATACAATGGGGTAAAGACAGGCTATTCATAAGTGCTGTTGGGAAAACTGGGCATATGTGCAAAAAAATGAAATTGGACCACTTTCTTAAACTATATACAAGAATAAACTCAAAATGGATTAAAGACTTAAATGTAAGACCCAAAATCATAAAACTAGAGAAAACAGGCAGTAAACTCTCTGATAGTGCTCTTAGAATATTTTTTCTGATATATCTCCCTGGGCAAGGGAAACGAAAGAAAAAAAAATGGGACTACGTCAAACTAAAAAGTTTTTGCACAGCAAAGGAAAGCATTGACAAAGCAAAAAGACAGCTTACTGAATGGGAGAAGATATTCACCAATAATACATCTTATAAGGGTTTAATATCCAAACTATATAAAGAAATCATACAACTTAACACCAAAAAACAATTTTAAAATGGGTAGAGGACCTGGTAGACATTTTTCCAAAATGTACATACAGATGGCCAATAGACATATATGAAAAGATGCTCATCCTCACTAATCAGAGAAATGC